CTCAGGAGGCTGAGGCAGGAGGATGAGTTCAAGGCCAGCTGGGCTACAGAGTGAGATATTATCTGAAAAGCAGGGGGTGGAGGTGAGGGGTGGTGTAAAATGGTACATTTTATATATTATGTGTATTTTACCAGAATTTAAGATTTTTTTCAGAGCCCAGGGATGTAGCTCAGTGGTAGAATGCTTGCTTAGCATGTGCAAACCCCTGGGTTTGATTTCCAGCACTACCAAAAAATTTTTTTAATTCTAAAATGGCAACTTTGAGTCCACTGAAGAATGATTCCCCATTTACCCTTCCTCCTTACCCCTGGTGGTGACCATTTGATCTGTATATGTGTGGAATGTCTCATACAGGTGGAAGCATGCAGTGTTTTTCCCCTATGACTGGCTGGTTTTGCTTGGCATGGTGCCCTCTGGGTCCACCCATGTTGTTGCAGATAGTAGGATTTTCCTTGTTTAATAAGGCTGTATACACATAGCATACCTAAGGCTTGTACATATAGGTATATTCCATTGTAGGTATATACCATATTTTCTTTATCTATTCTATATGCAAAAAGAGTAAGTTCTAAAGATTTGCCATGTAACATAGCACTTGTAATTAACAATATCATGTACTTTCAAGTATGTTAAAAGGATACTTGTCATCTTAAATTTTTTACACACAGGGCCTGGAATTTAGCTCAGTAGCACCTCGCCTGTCTCGCAAGTGCAAGGTCTTGAGTTTGATCCCCAATACCAAAAACAATAAATGCTTATACTATAACACACATACACACACACACACACACACACACACACACACACACAGAAATGTGTGGAGGTGGTCAATATACAGTTAGTATCTTTAGTACCTCAGCTGAAGAGACAGTATCACTGGTATATGCCCACATCCAAACGAGATACATACATTAAATGTGTGCTATTTTTAATATCAATTATATTTCAATAAAGTTTTAAAAAGAGTGTAAAAGGATCTTAAGACAAAAACATTTGCAAACTATCCATTCCTGTCTTCCAGTTCTTGGGCCATTTTTAGCACATACCCCTCCCACTCACTTCCTCATAAAATATAGAATTATAAAATCCTATAAACAAAATATAGCCAAAAATGAGACAAAACAGCAGATACAGAGAGCTAAAGATAGAATAAGACCCTCAAAATTATTTTCCTAGCTGGGTGTGGTGCTGCATGCCTATAATCCCAGCACTCGGGAGGCTGAGGCAGGTGGATCACCGTGCGTTTGAGGCTAGCCAACAAAGCAAGACCGTATCTCACCCCCACTCCCCAAAAACAACTAAGAACAAAATAATTTCCCTTCAGAGGCAGGGCCTAGTAAGCAGCTCTGCTAAACAGGTTCATTAACAGCCCCTCCCTGCCGCCACCTGCAGGGGAAAGGCAGGTGAGGACCTGAGTAGGCGGTCAGGAGTCCTATCGCTCTCAGGTTCAGTATCTGTTGCGATACAGCAGCGAGGTAAGGCGGGGGGGGGGGGGGGCTGTTTCTTATTAGTCAAGATTTACAGGGAAGCCTTGACTAACACCAGTAAATAAAAGACGGGCCCGAGTGGGATGGCCTTCTGTCTGCAGTCGAGGGCCTCTCCACTAGGCCCTAAGATGCTTCTCTCATGTCCCCCATTACTAGACGCAGTCTTCAACGGCTATGATTTTCTTATGTCTATAAGCCATGTTGGGGTTGTTTGTTTTAGCCTTTTCTCATTCTTTTGGGTTGTCTTTTTTTTTCTTTTTATTGAGTTTATTGGTACATTCTAGGTATACAGTACAGTTACATTCATTACTGGGATCCTGTACCTTCACATGACAGGTCTTGGTTCTCATTTTTTCCCCTTGTCCATGCCTCCCTTCACCCCTTCTTCCCTTCCCCATTTACAAACACTTTTATTTCCATATTTTCATTTTCTCATATTGGGTTGTCTTTTTTATAACAGCTCATAAGAGAAAAAGTGATCCCGTTTTATTTTCCAATTACAAAATGAGTTTTTAAATGATTCAAAATGAAAGTTAATGAAGATAAAACAAGAAATAAAACAAAAGCTGATTCTTAGAGGAAAGACACAAACTGGAAACAAAAGTGATCGTGAAAAAAGACTGAAGCATTAGTGATACTAAGAATTTAAAAAGAAAGACAAAATACGTAGGGATTAGACTATGAATAACTCTATCCTAATGATTTTTTAAATTTTTTGAGAAAAATTTGAATGACTGGAGAATCAGTAATAGTTTTAGTAATACTTATAGTAGCAGTAGAAATAATATTCTGGAATCTCCTCTTAAAATGCACACTCAGAACAATTAAGTGCTAGTATTTTCCCCATCGTGGTCTTCTGTGAGAAAAGAGATGGGTCTCTGGAGACTGTTTGTTGATCAACTTTGGAAATAGAGGACGTTCAGAGTATCAGAGCACAGCAAAGGTGCCAATACTGTCCCCTGGACTCAGATACCTCCAAGGCTGGTTCAGGCCCAAGACATCTCTGCTTGCCTCCCCAAGAGGTAGCACCCCTAGTTTAAGCCACAACCCTGTCCACGATCCCTTCTTCACTAAACCTTCCTCCTTCCCTCCTCTTCTGATTCTCCATTTTTTGTGGGAAGATAAAGAGTAGCTCCAGGTGTCTCTAGAGGTGCCATGGTACCTCTCCCCACAGCCTTGCTTCCCTCCACTCCTACCTCCTGGGACCTCCAGCCAAAGGAGTTGCAGAGCAGCAAACAGGTAGAGTCCTGAGGCCTAAACTTCATCCTATCTTGGCCCATTCTTTAAACTCATCTCACTTACAGGGGCCAAAGGGGAAGTGGGTGTGCACTAAAGGGTAACAGTTGTATAGCTCTAAGCCCCAGTACTGCAGTTAACCCAAAAAATCTACCATTTTTACCTTGCTCTTTGTAGTTCAAGTGTCCCACATATATGAACACTATGGTGTCTCAGATTGGCAATACAGGTGAGTAAAAATTAAATATATTTAAATTTGTTACTCTTTCCACTCCAGCTTTGTAACCACTTAAGCAATACTAGAAGTATCACCACTATGGTGCATGAATGTGTGTGCGCTGTGTGGCAGAAACTTAGTAAATATTTCCATGGTAGAAAGAGTCACCTTCTCCAGGCAAAGGATAGAGATGCCCAGTGTACCTCTTTATGGTCCTATCTATGGTGTAGGTGGGAAGTCACAAGAGAGCCAAGTATCAGCAGAAAGGATTCTTTTGTGGTTCTTGCCAATGATTTACTACTGGACCGACTACAGCCCTTAGCAGCCCCTAAGGCAGGTGCTTCAGTGGATTGTTTACCTTACTCAAGGACTGGGAGGTGGAGTGGGATGTGAAAAGAAGACATTCTCAGTGACCCCAACTTTGGCTGACATGGATAATTTGGAGTGGGCACCCTCTCCAGATAAAGCAAAACTAATGCTGGGCTAGGGATTTAGCTCAGTGGTTCTGCAGCCTGCCTCGTAAAGGGCAAGGTCCTGAGTTTGATCCCCAATACCACCCCCCCCAAAAAAAAAAGAAAGAAAAGAAAAACTAATGCTTCAATGACACTGACCACACCCAAGGTCAGGACCCTTGACCAGGCATCTTCAAGTCCATGAATAGACGTAGTTAGTTGCAAGAATTAAAATCTAGAGAATGCCACGTTTGGTGGTTCTTACCAAAGTCAGCCTATAGTGAGAGTAGGGACATGAGTTCAGCATCAGAGAACCAAAGACCTACTAGGGTAAGAAAGAGGTACTCCATCATGGGCACCTCACAGTCCAGGGTACCATGATTAAAGGTCCATAAGGTAGGTCCCCAGCTCTTTCCTCCTCCCTCATGAAATGATGCCTATAATCCACTTTCTGTCACTACAATCCCAATAGGTTGGGCACGGCTGGATGAGGCAGGGTGAGGTCAGGTGGACCTGGGGCCACTGTTATTCTGAGTTGCTGGCACTCTTTTTCACCCCAGTACAGATGAAGGTTCTGAGAAAGGAGTGTGATGGAGGAAGCATATGAATGGAAGAAATTATGATGAGGAATGATGAGGAGAAAACTTTCTGATATTATCTGCAGTTGAGTGTACTGACCACCTAAGCATTCAGGTCTCTCTCTAAACCAACCAATATTTTTTTGGAGGGGCGTTCAATCTTTGAAAATTAATTCCTCAAAGTACCCACCACTCTTTTCCACCAGCAATCTAGAAGGTAAAGTTCTTTTTGCATGGCCAGGCGTGGTGGTGCAAGCCTGTAATCCCAGCACTCGCGAGGCTGAGGCAGGAGGATGGCTGTGAGTTTGAGACCAGCCTAGGCTACATAGTAAGTTCCAGGAAAGTCTCAACTACACAGTGAGGCCCTGTCTCAAAAAAACCAAAACAAAACAAAACAAAAAACAAACAAACAATAAAGTTCTTTTTGCAGACTCTATGAAGACTCAGAGACTTAAGTTATCATGTGATTAATTCAAAACATCCCTCTGAGTGCTTCTGGAGGAAACGCTGAAACATAGTGTGTTTAATGTAATCTGTTAAGCTTTCACATGTCATCCGTCCAGCTCCGGGACCCTTCTGGCACCTAAAATTCTAAAATTTAAGTCCTTATAGTTAATCAAAAAGTCTCTAGAAAAATACAAATACCCCTGAAATCAAGGTAAAGGCTAGAGAATTGATGCAATCCCATGAGAACTAGGGGCGGTGCTAGAATTCTTCTATCAGAGATATAGGGGTGGGGAGGTGAGAGAATTAGAGGATCTATCTTGAAGCTGTATTTTCACAGATAAGGCATGGTTTTATATTACACTGATCATTTATTTATTTGGGGTGGTTTGGGCCATGGGAAAACAGATTTGAGATGCTCAAAACTCCTCACAGAAGCCACCCCTTGATTCCATCACAGCAACAAGAGAAACCAGCTCACTGTGAAGATCTTGAATATCAAGACCCCAAAGATCTGGACTTGAAAGGCCATCAAATCCAAACCCCTCCTTTAGTCATTCTGCTGGGCAGAAGCAGGTAAACATACCAAGGCTGAGCTAAGGAATATCCATAGGGATCCAGTGTCCACAGAAGGAATTCTTGGCGAGACCCCTCTCCCAGAAACAGGCTGAGGAAAGGGAGGACAGTCCTTCAGTCACAAACGGCAGAAAAAGGCCTTAAATTATGGCCAGATTATCTAGTCACATGATGCAATCTCTGCTTCTCATCACATGATCTTTTTTCCCCTCCTCCTCCTCTGGTTTCTCCCTCTCCTCTGCTCTGTTTTGATTCGGCTAAAATAGATGCAAACCCTGGCCTTTTCTATTTTTAATACCCAGCCATTACATAATCTACATCGTAATTGCTGACTTGAAAAACTATTGGCAACAGTAAAAAATCCCTGGAGTTTTAAACAGGAAAAGGATTATTACAGCACAAAAGCCTCTGGCAGCTTTACTGACTGGTAAACCGTCTGTAATTGTCAATTGCCAGTGAAAGTCACATGTACCCTGGGAACACTGCCTCTAACCTTAGGGGAAGCAGGCAGGGGGACAAGATGAAAGGTAGTTTCTATCGGGAGAAGTGGGGGGGGGGGTCAGACTTGAAAGCTGCTTCAGCCAAAAGTGCTAAAGGAGTGAGCCCCAGTCACCCCAGGAAACCTATTACTATTTGCGTTTCATGCTAGGGAGTGAAGTCTCATCAACTTCTTGGCTTTCCTACAGCTTCTAAAACACTCCTGGCAAGAGCCAGAGGGAAGGTGGACTACCCCAGTGAAATAGGTGATTTAATAAAGACAGTGGAGCAATAAAGGTGCCTGGACACAAAATCTCCTCTGCAAGGCTTTCCAAATACTAGGCCAGAGCCACACTACTCCATGGTTTAATAAAATACTCCCAATAAAAACCAGAACTAGTGATTTGGCAGAGATTCATAATCAACTAGAAATTAACCATCTCTGAGACAAAATTCTCTATGTATACCGGGGGTGTGGGCTAGTGCAGGAGACACACAGGGGACAAGATTTCAAATCTTCCCTGGTTTGGCCAATTTCGCCACAGCCCTAATTCCATGAATCAAGGTAGCAGTACACTCTAGATCAACTATATGAGGTGTGATAATAGAATATGGGGAGTTTTTATTTTTTAAGAAAATCATTAAAATAAAAGACACACAAGTCATTTCCCTCAAAGTCCTCGCCCTGGCTTTCACACACTTGTCTTCCCATTCTTGCCACTATCTGCAGCAGCTCTGGAGTCCTCTTTTGTTGTGCTATCATAGCCATCTCAGTGTTCTGTGTCAATTCAAACATTGACTTTCTGTAGTCATTTTGACTTTGGGGGAGACCAAAAGGCACTGGTACCAGATCCAGTGAGTAAGGTGGATGAAGACACACAGTTTTTACAAGTCTGCCTTTCTGTTGGATGGCACTTGGTGGCGACATTCACTGTTTGCTTGTTCTGAGACAGGGTCTCACTGTGCAGTTCAGGCTGACCCTGAACTCACTGTGGAGCCCAGGTTGCCTCAGTCTCTCCAGCGCTGGGATTACAGGCGTGTGCCACCACATCTAGCTTAAAATTCAGAGATCTTTTGAAAAAGGCTGACCCACGCTGTCATGAGAACTATATATAATTTATGGCACCGATTAGTCAAGGCACTTCTGGCTACAGGTGACAAAAATCCAAATCAAATTCTCATTAAGAGGTACACAAAAGATGTCATATGGTCTCCTCCTCTCCCCATCCTGCAGCTCAGCTTTCATCTGTGTTGGGGAGCATTCCCTTCAGGGTGGCGAGATGGTCCCCCAGCACACGAAGGAGACAACACTACAGAGGAGGCAGCCCAGCTGGAAGAGAAACACAAATATACTTCTTAATACGGTAGTTTCAAAAACCCAGAGCCCTGATCAGCCTAGATTTGGGCCTGAGCCCATGGCCAAGTCAACTGTAGCTTTATGACTGGCATAGTCCTGTGTCCTCCAAGGGATGGACTTAGCCTACCAGAACCTTGTCTCTCCACAAATGAAGTCAAAGTGCTCTCACTCAAAAAGGAGAATGCATGCTGGACAGTTAAAGTCCAGTGACCTCTACTGTTCTCCAAGTTTGGGATGACAGTGGATTTTAAGACTAATTCAAATTATAAGTAAAGAGCAAAATGGAAGATAGATGATAGGCAATAGGAAAACATACTTTTTACATGGGAACGGGATCAAGGGATTGGCAGGGGACAAAAAAGGAATTAAGATGTGTTATGTACATGTACCAACTCCACACGAGGAAGGTAAAAATGAGTACTGCAAACACATACTAATAAAAAAGAAAAAATATATATAACAGGTTCCTCCATCAACTCGGTCCTTGTCCCTGAGGAATGAACAACAGTACTTGTTCGGTGTGGTACTGGTCCTACTCTAGCTGCTCAGGGACCTTGGCTTCTCGATTTAGGATATTCCCCGAGTGCTACTATTTGTTTAGATCCTCACTCAGAGCAGTCTTCAAGTCCCAAGATTTTGCAGAAGATTTTCCCCAAGCCCCTTTAAACTCAACAATGGCATGGCTGGGAAAGGTGTAGCTCTTCAGATTCTCTGAAACTAATACGGAGAGCAGAGTGTGACAAAGTACTCTGTTGGGAAGTTTTGCTTCCCTTTAGGAGTTTGAACTAAAAATGGATTCTGGCCGGGCGTGGTGGCACATGCCTGTAATCACAGAATTCCGGGAGGCTGAGGCAGGAGGATCGCTGTGAGTTTGAGACCCACCTCGGCTACACAGTGAGTTCCAGGTCACTCTCAACTACATAGTGAGAACCCTGTCTCAAAAAAAAAAAATTCTGTTGGGCAAAAAGAAATACTGTAACATGATAGTTAAGGTAGCATCCACAGAGCAAAATCTTGGGGACCAATGTTAAACATTCTGAGTTACACAGCACAACAACAATTAGATGTTATCTGCAACCACCCTTCCCTTGGGCATGCTTTGAAGCTGCCTGAATCCCTGTCCAGTTCTATAAGAAGTCCAATGGCTTCCCCAGCAGCTAATGCCCTTAGTAATCCCTTTTGGCTCTGACTCCAGCTTTTGGGGAAGTTTTGACCTCACTAGCATCTCACCTCCTGAAGCTGATCTCTTCCTGCTACTCTTAAGTTGTCCCAGATGTGAGACTCGGCTTTCTTTTTCCATGCTTTACCAAAAAGGAAAAATACATGTACACAAAACATTGTGTTCATCAGATTTCCCTGAAGGAATGAAGGGACAGAGGGGATTACGGCACCACTTGGCTCCTCTACACCCTCCACATTGCGGGGGACCCACTCTCCTCTCTCAAACAACTGAATTACCTTTCTATCACTTAAGGCAACTTCGCTCCCCATCCCCTATCCAGAGGTGGAATCAGGAGCACTATGAACCATATATTCCAGGTTCCACTCCTGATCAGCACCAAGGAAGCAACAAGAAATTTTGAACTTTTACCATCACCATTCTGTAGTGGTAAATGCAATATAATGAGTTTCATCCTCTGCATATGAATTATACCACCCCTCTAAGAGTAGAACTAGCCAAGTCAGTTTTTGTTTTAAATTAATTTCTATTATACCACCCTATTTAAACTCACCAGCTCAAAGAAAAGCTTATTGCTAGAGGTGTCAGTGGCGCCCCACCTGCCCGGCAAGTGCAAGGTCCTGAGTTCGATGCCCATGGGGCGGGGGTACGTAACAAGTGTAAAACAATTCCCATATGCCTACTGACCTGGAGAATGTGATGAAGGAAAGCAACACTCCTGTCCCAAAGGCACTGCCTATTTTTGAAAGACGAGAAGGTTTAAATCTTTGTGCCACTCCCTATGATGGAATTCCTGCTTCTAGGCTGGCACTCTAGAGTCTCAAATTCCAGTGACAAAGGTAAACAAAATGAAAATGAGATTCAAGTATTCCTTTCACCTAGGTTGGCAGGGACCTAAGAACAAGAATAAAACCAGTTTAGGGCTGGGCAGAGTGGTGCACACCTGAAACCTCAGCCCTTGGGAGGCTGAGGAAGGAGGGTGGCCAGGAGTTCAAGGCCAGCCTGGGCTACATGGTGAGTTCAAGGCCAGACTGTCAAGGGCAAAAGAAGAAATATAAAAATAAAACTAGCTTAGGAAGTCTCTCCAAAAGAGTGACAAGGAAAATGCAAGGAGCAAGTTTCTCCCATGGCCTAGGCCAGCTCTGAGCCTTGATTTTCTGGGCCACTCAGGTTCCCTTCCCTTTCTTGTTTCATCTCCAGGGCATGGAACAAGCAAGGTCTCCCACAGAGAAACTCCTTCATCAAAGGAGGGTGCAAACGGCTCTGCAAGGCAATGAGCACCAGAAACAGGCAAATTCTAACAAGGCCCGAGCTTTGAATTCCTTCATCAATCACACCAGTAGATATAACAGCAGGCAACATGGCCACATAGCCTCCCTTCAGAATCCCTTTAGTTCCTGTGAAGAAAGGAATAGTGAGAGGTCCCTATATTCTTTCCAGAGGCTAAAAATTTACAATATAAGCTAAAAAAAAAAAAAAAAGGCGGGAGGTAATGATGGGAAATAAATCTTTTATCTTCTATAAAAGGAAGGCAAAACTTAACTTTTCACTCTTTAATGTCATCATTAGAAAAATACAGCCTTAAACTGGGTGTGGTGGTACCTTCCTGTAATGCCAGCACTCAGGAGGCTGAGGCAGGAGGAGGATTACTCTGAGTTTGAGGCCAGCCTGGACTAAATAGCAAGACCCTATCTCAAAAAAACAAAAAAAGAAAAATATAGCCTTAAATATTTTTTAACATAAAGGTACCCAGGAATAAAATTTATTTTTTTTAATTTATTTTATCTAGGAAGTTTAGTTTATTCCTCTAAGCAATACTTTTCTTTGGAAAACAAGCTCCATGAAGTTTCTGTCATCAACTTGTTTCAGTTTAACATACTTATTTTCAGAAGCCTACTACATGCATAATTGAAACTATAGGGGAAAGGGGTGTGTGTGTGTGTGTGTGTGTGTGTGTGTGTGTGTGTGTTTTGTTTCGGTACTAGGGATCGAACTCAGGCCCTTGCACTTATGAGGCAGGCACCAGGAGCTAAATCCCCAGCCCACACAAAGTTTTTAAAAAGTAGATCCTGTAAGATAAAAATTCCAGCTATTTTAATAAATAAAAACACCATTGTCTCGATAAATCTATGTATATGAGTATTTCCTTTGGTGAAATGTTTGCTACGCTGTGACTTGCTATTTGTATTCTCTGCTCATTTTCCATTGGATTGATTCTCTTTTTATTAATGATTTGTAGGAGCCCTCTCTACACATCTACAGGTTACATATATGAATCCATTGTCTATCACATATATTACAAGATTTTTCCTGACCTGTGTGCTGTATTTATGAGATGTGATATATAAATGTTTAAATTTTAAAATATATTACAATAAAAGACATAATGCTATTAATTCACCTCAGAATAGTCCCTCTTGCTTCAAACACACTTATCCTATCACTCTTTCCACTTTCTGAAGTAGCTCAGGAAGCCCACTTTTCTGTCTTTAGTTACACTGTCATGGCTGCCTCAGTGTACTGAATCAACCCAAAATGTTTACCTCTCTCAAGTCATTTTTAATTTGAGGAAGACTTAGCAGTTGCATAGTGCCAGATCTGATGAATGAGGTGGATAATAACACACCATAATGTTTTTATAAAGCCAGGAAAGAGGACTTCCAGAGCTGCTTCAGAAAGTGGCAAGAATGACAGGGTGTGTTCAAAATAGGAGGAGTACTTTGAGGGTGATCAATTGCAATGTGTCTTACTGCAATGTTTTTTTAATTTATACACTCACAATGTACTTTAATCATATCTTGTATAGTAATCTGCCAGATATAAATTTCTCATTTTTATGTGGTAAAACCAATTATAAACTATTTAGACAAACTATTACAAACAGGTGCAGCATGCCCTCACTGCAAGCACTGAGCTACACCGCCTCTTCTGCTTAGGTTCCTGTGGGAAACAGCTGGGTAGGCAGTTATTTTCCGAGCTATTCATTCATGTCTGGTTTTATAGCCAAGGTAGTGGTGAAAATGAATCAAGTTAAGGAAAGCAAAATTAATTATAAGGATTTTGTGTTTGTTTCAGCTACTTGGAAGTTTCTTTTTTACATGTTTGGAGACATGAACAACAGTGTTGAAGGCATTTGTAACCAATGAAAATCCAAAAACATCTTCATGGACAATGACCTCAGCATTTCCAAATGGTCAAACTACGTAAGCTTTAGGGCATTATCACTGTCATGAAGGGAATGACTGAACACAGCCCAGGACAAATAAACTTCAGATCTCAAATGAATAGAAGTGCTCAAGGATCCAGTGACTTCCAGAGTTTTATGCAAGAAACATTTTAAAAGTTTCCGTTTAGCCTCTCACAAAAGATTAGCACTGGCCCAACCTGATCCTTAACAGTTACCATTAAAAAAAAAAAGTGGGATTTTGCCTACCAGATGGCCACAGGCTCTCGCCCCAGGAGTACTTGGCTCCTATACCTACAAACAAAGGCCCAGGACTTTGTGGAGGCTGGCCTACTTGGCCAGAACATACCCCCAGCAGCCCCATTAAACCTCTACACTGTTTAGGCGAGCAGTGTAGAAAGCAAGCATGAAAAACAGGCCTGGCCATCTTCCTTCTAGCTGAAACTTGATGCCCCTTTACAAACTTGATTCCTGGGCAATGAAAGTTTTCCCATAAAAGCATTCTTCAGTCCCCAGTGGTACTGAGGGAAAACAGACATTCTATCTTATGTTGATTCAAAACCATTATTTTTACAACCTCAAACAAAGCCTTTCCTTTGCCAAAGCTTGTGCGGAACAGCTACATGGCTCCTCACTGCCATCATCTGTTCACCTCCTGGTCATCAAGGACTTGATTGTGGTCTGCCTTTCCACCTCGTCAAACCCTGCCTGATCACGACCTCCTATAAGTCTACATTCCAGTCTTTACTTCTACAGCTTCTGTTCTTTGACTTCATTATGATTTCTGGCCTGACAGCCCCTTCCCCATTACTTTGCTACCAATCAGTCCTCTGGATGCACTTCTTTACCTAGCCAGCTCCTAACAATACTGTAGGTCCTCCCCTTCCACCTCTTCCATTTGCCTAACAACACACAGCTCCTGTCTGAAGGCAGACATCTTCTGCTTCAACCCTCCCATTCTTCATGGAGCTCAAACAACCCTGTAGAGAGGGCTGCCTTCTCTATAAATACACTGTCTCCAACCAGGTGGGTCCTTAGTGCTCAGTTATCCTCTTGCATGTCCCTCAGACTGCAACCATTAGCACAAGAACTTTTTGAAACTATACTAACTCTCCCCACCATCCTATTTTCAACTTTTACCCAGTGCAAAATCCAAGAGAAGGAAACAGTGACTTTCTGCCTCCTAAAATCTTACCAAATTGCTCTACCCCATTACATCTATGTCTCTATGAAATGAAACTTAAAAGTGCTGAGCGGAGGTGGCTCATGCCTATAGATCCAGCTATTCAAAAGGTTAAAGCAGGAGGATGCCTTAAGTCCAGAGTTCAAGATCAGCCTGAGTAACATCTCAGAAAGAAAGAAACGGGCAGAGGGGATAAACACAGCGCTGGAAAAAGCTAGGAATGTAATAAACAGTGGTAGTGGTGGTGATGGTGTCAACCTCAGTGCAGCTTTGTCCTCTGCTCAGCTAAAGTATAAACTTTCTGAGTAAGGGTTCAGGATTTCCCACCCACCCCCAGAGGAGGGTCATCCTGCTCAACAATTTCTATTTTTCTTCTCTGTCTCCACATCCTCTCTCTACTACCTCTTTCCCCACAGCATCTGGACATGCTCAATCTCAAAATCAATAACCCTCTCTGCATCTTGCATCATCCTTTCACTAACTCTTCACTTCAAGCTTCTTGAAAGGGACCCCTCCCTGACAGGATCACACTCTTGCCTCCCATTTACCAGCTACGAGAGTCACTGTTGGCAAGAGTGACCACTCTTGCTTACCAAAGGTTCTGCTTTTGGAAAACTGCTTTAGTGATTAGCAAAGCAGCATAGTGAATGGCAATAAATTGTACTGCTATTAGCTCAGAGTTTTAGTAACATGAATGAGCGTAATTTGATAGTATGAATGATGGCACATGCTTGTAATCCCAGCACTTGGAAGGCTGAGGCAGGAGGATTGCCATGACTTCAAGGACAGCCTGGGCTACACAGCAAGACCCAGTCTAAAAAAAAAAGAAAGTGTGAATAAGAATAGATTTGCCTTTGTATTAATACTATCTCTTACCAGAGCAGAAGATTAAAATTTTTTGTGTCAATACCAGGGATTGAACCCCTGGGTCTGAGCTACATCCCTAGCCTTTTTAAATTATTATTTTAAAACAGGGTTCAGCTTAACATTCGTTAAAACAACATACCTGTTTCCACAAAATTTACCTGGTTTTCTAGATCCAAAAGTTAGAAACAGGGCTGGGAATTTAGCTCAGTAGTTCCACTGCCTGCCTCACAAGCACTAGGACCTGAGTTCGAACTCCTGTACCAAAAAAAAAAGTTAGAAACAATCTCGTCCCTCTGAATTCCCACAGCACAGTGCATATCTGTCATACCATAACACTTTATAATTACAATTATTTATGCACTAAACCTAAGTTCCTCAAAAGTAGGCTCAGCTCAAGTTATCACAGGACAAGCCGAGGATTTAGCTCAGTGGTTCTGCCACCTGCCTCACAGAGGCAAGGTCCCAAGTTCAATCCCTGGTACCAAAAAAAAGTTATCACAGGACTTTCAGCAGTTAATAAAGATCTGATAAATTAACAAGTGAATTTTATAAGTATCCATTATAGAAAGGATAATTTTAATTATAAATCAATCTAAGCCCCTCCCTTTTTTGGCACCAGGGATTGATCTTGGGGCCCTTGCACTTGTGAGGCAGGCAGCAGAACCACTGAACCAAATCCCCAGCCATAATTGGCCCTTTAAATCAGGCCCCCTGTAGAGCTTCCACTGACATTTCATTAACACAGTATTAGTTTTCCTTATGTTTTATATCTAATAAAGTTGTATTCATTCACATGTTGCAATTTAGGCTCTCATTCATTTAGGCTTTCGTTCATGATACTATTTCCTTTTGGGGTCAGGCTGGAAGGGTAAGTCAATGAGGCAGAAATCATCCAAGTTGAAGGGTATGAGCACAGCATTCCTTGGGAAGGACTACATTTCCCTCTTTCTTCACCCCAAAATATCCCAGAAAGTCTTCAATTCCTTTCATAAGCTCTGTGTGTCAGTTTCTTAGCATAGCTATGGCTTTGCCTCTTGCTAGACTTTGCTAGATTTACTCATTTCTAAAACAAAGAAGTTTCCCCAGAAAAATCTCAAAGCTTTTTTTCTAATGTAACTATGCCATGGATAATTGCATATGACTATCTAAAAATCAGATTTTATTTTGAAATAAAATTTTGTGTTATGGATATACTGCCTACTCCTAGTACCTCCCCCGACCAAGTTAACTGTTCGATCATCTATATGAGACCAGACAGGGAGACTGCTGTCAGGAACTTCTACTACAACACTGACTGTCCCCACAGTCCCTCTAAAGAAGCTAGTCTATAATTCTTACCCACACAGAATTGTGTGCTTGGACAAAGTATACTAAGGGTTAAAAGTACAACCGGGAATGCACACCAGAAAACACAGGGAAGGGCCAAGTGACAAGCCCCTATCTCTCTGAAGCCAGAACCACCTCCCAAATTTGCTTTACCCTCACAGAGGGTATAATTTCCAACAGGGCTAAAAATCACCAATGGCAGACAGCCTGCGGGTGGGGCCAGGCTGGGTAAGCAAAGGCCAGTGATGAGCTCCTGACTTAGTATCCAAGGAGTCAAGAAGGATAGTCTTCGCAAGTGCAAAGACTAGAGTTCAATCCCCAGAACTGGAAAAAGAAAAAAGAACGGTGGTGATCCTCCCATACAGGACCTATAATGTAAATGCCCTCTTTGGGTGAGATTCAGGTTTGGAGCAGGAAATCTCCTACCTCTGTGGACCTCCTCATTTGCTCCAGAGACTCTCAGCAGCTTCATCTTTTAGGAGGAGAAACTGTGTCTAGGACCCGTGACAGCAGACTACCACTTTTAGAAATGCCTGTGGAGTCACCAGTCCACACAGCAAGCACTTCCATGGTGTCTCCATTTTCTCTGCCCCACTATGAAATCTGAGCAACAGAACTTGTCCTAAAACAACCCATCAAGTCATAGTAAAGTTGCAGGAAGATCTGTCTCACACAAATCAGCATGCCACAGGGAAAGAAATCTTGTCAGTCCTTTGTTCATTCAGTCACTCACCCCTTCCTGACTGCTGACTATGCCTGCTCCATGTACTGGGCTGCAAGGGTGCCTTGACAATTCTTGATAGACACCAGGATAATGGGTGTGAGAGAATCTCTCTCAAGTTAACCTTGTGGATCTATAGCATCTGAAAAGATAGAATTACCTCTTGTGTTTAAGATATAGGAATAGGTTTGCTTGTTTATTATTTTTTTTGAGACAGGATCTCACTGTGTAGTCCAGGCTGACCATGAACTATGTTGCCAAGGCTGACCTTGAATTCACAGCAATTCTCCTGCCTCAGCCTCCTGAGATTACAGGCATGCACCCCACACCCAGCTAGGAATAGGTTAAATAATTTGATCATATAAGTACAACTGCCAGTTGGAAAACTGAAATGACTTAAAAGACTCTTGATTTTCTACTCATTAAAGCAGATCTTCTTAGGATCTCTGCTTGCTGACGAATTCTCAATGGGATTCCAAAAATAAACAAAAATAATGACTTCATAAAAAATTTTGTTTTCATATAACTAACTCAGACAAGCCTTTCCTTCACTGGTCTAAATCAATACACTATTAGTGCATTGCTTTCAACAGTATAAAGCCAGAATTAAATAAGCCACTAAGCCACCACTAACTTTATAATAATCAGATTGGATAACCTTACTTCAAAGTATTTCACAGCTATTTATGGACAGGTTAGGATCCTTTTCCCCTTTTGAATTCAATGGAACATCCAACATTCTCTGATTTAGGGGAATATCAGGGCCAAAGGGCTAGAGATCAGTGCAGTAACCATAATATGATATCTTCCCTGGCCTTCTGCCCACCTCATAACTGTTGCTAGATCCAGGCTGCAGCTTTTGCTTTAATCTTTTCCTCCTTGGAAAATTCACCTCTAAGAGACAAAAGTGGAAAATGTGAAATGGAATTTGAGGCTGAATACCTGAGTTAGACATCTATTTTCAAATTGAGGGCCTGAGATTTTTCTCTGTGCTGCTGCTACCTGCCTTGCAAGCACGAGGTCCTGAGTTGGATCCCTGGTACCAAAAAAAAAAGAAAGAAAGAAAAGAAATTGAGCTTCAGTATCCAAATAAAAGGAAAAAGTAGTAATGGAAAGCATACAAGTTTGTATTAGCTAATTACTACAATATGATGCTACTTTGTACATGGCAAAGTGATTTTTTAACATGTTGTTGCAGTCATTGTTTATTATGATTATTTCTCACTTCTATGTTTCCCCCAAGCTTTACCCTCAGGGTCTAATTGAGACCACTCCTCTCCAGTGTCTCTCAAAACATGCAGAAGTAAAAAAAGAACCAAAATACCACTATGCCTCCCTCAAGGCAGTCAAAGGTACCAAATCCAGGCAGTCTACATTCCCATTTGTTGTTTCTACATTAGAAGTAATTTTTTTCAAAAAGAAAGAAGTAATTTTTTCTCTAAATGGCAATCTACAGCCTACAGACGATTTGCTCTTAGAGGTAGCTTGAGCCCTTTAACTTGCACCCTGTGAAACAAATTCATCTCCTTCTAGGAGATGGCTCCCCTTTCCAATTACACCCATTTCTATCATAATAGGTAACCTTACAGTTTCATTGGATAGACAAACTGTGGCGTTATGGGTGAGTTACAACTGTTCTTTCTCTTTCTCCTGCCTAACAGACTATCAGATCAGTGGTTTCTTCCATGAAATGTCTTTAAATTTGATCTTTTCCCTTATAAGCCCATCACTTATCCTAGTTGATGCCCTATTTCAGACTTTTTCACTACAACTCCCTAATCAGTTTCTCTAACCTCATTTTCTGCTTCATTCATTTCACACACCACAGCATAAACCCTTCCCTGATCACTGCTTTTATCATCGCTATCTGCTCATTACCTAGCCCGTCATCCTCAAGTCAGAAGTCTATTTTTTAAATAGCTTTTTTATCATCAGAAAAGAATTTTTGTTAACATTTTGTTGTAAGATTTTTAAAAATATAAATTATAACTATATTTAGCCGGGCGTGGTGGCGCACGCCTGTAATCCCAGCACTCGGGAGGCTGAGGCAGGAGGATCGCTGTGAGTTCAAGACCAGCCTGGGCTACATAGTGAGTTCCAGGTCAGTCTCAACTATACAGTGAGACCCTGTCTCAAAAAACCAAAAAAAAAAAAAAAAAAAAAACTATATTTACTTCAAGTGAAAGAGGTTCTTATATATTTTTTCTTATATATTGCATCCAACTTCCCATGTCAATTATTATAGATCTACTTTATCAATGTATGGATATAACTTATTTGATCAATCTCTTATTAATGGCCATTTTGTTTTCTAAACTCTATACTAACAAATATCCTCATACATATCTCTTTGTAATCTTGCCCTGGGAGAAAATACTTAGAAGTGGAACTAATGGTTTAAATTTGTACCAGGGATCAAACACGGGTCCTTGCACTTGTGAGGTGGACATTTTAAATTTTGATAGATGCTGCCAAAGAGATCTTCAGAGAGTATGTACTAATTTATCTTCCCAGCCACAGAGACTGTTTCCTCAAGCTCTCACCCCTCACTAGCAAGAAATATTTTCTTGACTTTTTTTAAGATGCTGAGATTGAGCCTTCATACATGCTAACTCCACCAGAGCCACACCCTTAGCCTCCCCCGACCTCTGCCATTCTAATATTTATTCAAATATGGTATCTTGGGGCTGCAGATGTAGCTCAGTGCTAGAACACTTGCCTAGCAAGCACAAGGCCCTTAGTTTGATCCCTGGCACCAGTGCTTTGCAAAATAGAGTGAGAAGAATTTGGAGTTCTTAGTAGCAATACAGTAAGAAAGGTTTGCAAAAGACAGAAAGATTATAAGAGACCAAAGGAAAATACATAGGTGATATGAACAAGGATAGATCCCTAATGAAGAGGTAGCAAAAACGTTTTTGGGTTTTTGTTTCTTGTTTTTGTTGGCAGGGGGTGGGAGGGTGGAGGACTGGGGGGGTGAGACAGAGTCTCACTATGTAGCTCAGGCTGGCCTCCAACTCTAAATCCTCCTGCCTCAGCCTCTTAAGTGCTGGGACTATAGGCATGTACCACCACATTGGGCAGCAAAAGTACTTTAAAGAACAGGGACAGAGCCAGGAATGTAGCTCGGAGGTACAGCACCTGCCTGGCCAATGCAAGGCCCTGAGTTTGATTCCTGATGTTAGAATTCATGTTCTCCATTTTGTTGAAATATAAACTTCTCTTCATTACTTTAAATTTTTTTGAGAAAGAGCTCAAAACCAGAGTGATCATAATACATGAATTCCCAGGAAAAGGAAGAAATGTCTTTCTTTAAATTGTAGAAGGACACTGAGAAAAACTCAAAGAGGAATTCCCCCTAACTAAAGGGTTAGATTAATATATTCCATCCTTAGAACATTTTTAAATGATTGTAAACAATTCAGCAGACTTACAAAAGCAGTCCCAAAGGGAGGTGAAAATTACTGAGCTTGCACAAGAAACAAGCTGAGGATCAGATGTCCCATCCCTCTCCATCTGCCTGTTCCCAAAGGGATTTTTTTTGGCTCCTGTTCCACCTGAGGAATGAGGCCTTGATCAACACTCACCCCTTCATGAAATTTTCTCAAAACGTTTTAGTCTTCAGATATTTTATTTCTAGGGTTTCCATTTTATTTACTTTGGACAACAGCATAACCTTTAATAGTCCTTAATTTCTTCTTTTTTTTCTGTTAACTTCATCATAGAATTCAACTATAAAAAGGAGAAAAAAATGAAGCATACCCTAAGCATTTTACATTACAAGAGAATAAAATTTCTGATGCAGAAAGATTAGGATACAGTGATGGCAAAGTAACTTAATGAGTGACCCTAACAATGACATTCCTAAATTAGGGAACAAAGATGGAAGAGGAGGTCTGAAACATGGGGAAGAAGATGGGTTGATAAAGAATATAATGTAACTGAGCAGGGGCTTAGCTCAGTGGTGCCACTGCCTGCCTCAAAAGCACAGGATCCTGGGTTCAATTCCAAGTATCAAAAAAGAAAGAAAGTTGCCTGGCAAGCACAAGGTCCTGAGTGGGGGATATAATGTGACTTGGGACATGTCAACTTTAAGATGCCTTTGAGCCAAGCTTGGTGGTGCATACCTATAGACCACACCCCATCTATCAGGAGGCTGAAGCAGTAGGGTCAACATGAGTTCAAGGCCAGCCTAGGTTACACAATGCATTCCAAACCAGCCTGAACTACACAGGGACAGCCTGCCTCAAAACAAACAAACAAACAAAAAGTATTTGAGATATTAACGGTAGACGAAACTACAAGCATAACTCAAGGATAATAAAAACAGAAGAGAGAAGTGGGGCCAAGGAGCCTATTAAGGAAAGACTAGTACAGGCAAAACAATTGTTTTGCAGTAACAAATCAAGTAATACTCAGTAAACACCTGGAGACTGACCAAATAGCCAATGGGCTCTTTTTAGATCTCTGAATGTCCGTTTCAATCTCTCTTTCCACCTTCCTATAAGTTAGCCAACTCCCTGATCTTCACAGTTAAAACTATAGTCTTAAACATGGTGGTGTACGCCTGTAGTCCCAACTACTTGGGAGGCTAAAGCAGGAGGATCTCATGTTTGAGGCAAGCTTAAGAAACATAATGCCTGGCATGGTGGCACACACCTGCAATCCCAGTGTTCAAGAGGCTGAGGCTGAGGCTGATGGATCACTGCAAGTTCAAAGCCAGCTTTGGCCACATAGTGAGTTCAAGGTAAGTCTGAACTACATAGTGAGACCCTGCCTCAAAAAGCAAAACAAAACACAATAAGACCCTGTCTCTCATTAAAAAAAAAAAAAAAAAAAACATAAAAAACCAAAACTATAGTTTTCCAGAGGAAATGGCAGAAACAGACAAGTACCACAAGCCAAGGCCCCAACGCCTCACCTTTGCCCCATGTGGGTAAAAGGTGCTGCCTGCTGGATGTTCAAACCTTAGGGAAGGGTCAGAGCTGTGCCTTTTCATCTAGTCTGTTTTATGATTAGCTCAGTCGACTGAGTTGAAATAAGCCAACCAATGGCAGTAAAGATACATATATCAGAGTCTCAAAAGGATCTAGTAATTTCCTCATCAGGAGTCCCAAACTTTTCTATTTCATATTTTTTCCTACCCACACCTACTGTGAATGTCATGCATTCGCAGCAGTGACCAGATTCCTCTTTGGTTACCAGCTATGCTGGCTACAACTCCTGACACTTGCTCACCCATGCTGCAGATTTAAACTGATGTCCACCTGTGACATTTCCCTGCCCACACAGTGTGGATTGAAAAACATTACTACAGTCTGGACTATCCATGAAATATGGAAGAAGAAAGATTTAATAAGAAGAGTACAAAATGTATAAGGTTACACCTATTACATAAACACGAGCTGCGTCCTACTTGGCACTAATCCCTCCCTATGTGTTAAGTGAAAATTATGAACCAGCAATGAGATTTGAGACCAATGCTGAGATTAAAAGTCCCAAAATAGAAGGAAAAGGTGCTCAAAGTGCTCTAGAGAAATCCAAATAAATGTCAAACCTGGGGAAGGATGCCTCAGAGAAGCCTTCCTTCTTTGAATCCAAGAGTTGATGACATCTACTTGTATAGCCATGATGGCATTATCTTATTCACATTTCTCATTTCAATAGGGAAGAAACAGGAAAAGGAGTGAAAATGGGAAAAAGAATGAAGAATCTTTAGAGAGTCACTCCAGACTGGACCTGCCTTATGCAGAGATACAAGAGACAGTCAAGTACATGGCATGACTCCTGCGGAAACTGGTAAGTAACAGGTGCCCAGTGGGCATCTGTTGCACAAAGAGTACCATGAGCGATTCCTGCCCCCCAAAGAAGTTCTTTCACTGGCTGTTGCATTACTTTTACATGAAATTATTCCATTTGCTGCCTAATCTCTTGGGATAAAGCCTCATACTTCCAAAAACTGTCTTTTGACACCAAACACTATATTCTGTGAGATTTTTGTGTGTGAGATTTTAATTAATTTTTTTTGTAGTAAATAGC